GCTGAATTGGATACATTTGTAATAAGTTTGCTATATTTCATTGATTTTTCGAGATATGTACTGTTCGTGTCGATTTCGGTTTACAAAATAAGGGGGAAAAAAGAAATCGTATGTGACACATATTTCATGGATTACGTGAGGGTACACATGCTGTTGAATGTAGTACCAAGGTTGCCAGTGTATTTGGGTCAAGGCTAAAAGGCGATCCCCATTTGTACACCCTATCTCCCTCCCGAGACCTATGACTATCTCGGCCCTTTTTGTGCACGTGCACGTACTCAGGGATCTCTGACAGCTATGTTACTTAGCGCTTTACTGATACGTTTGCCCACTGCATCCGGTTTACTAATAGATTTCATGGAAGTACTTTTTCGTATCTAGTACTCTGAAATAAATCAATCAAGCTTCTAAGACTCGATCCTGTAAGACATCACGTTTCCAGTTCGTTTGTAAAGATAGAAAGTCTTTATTTAAACATGAACAGATTTATTATTAAACATGAACAGATTTATTATTAAACATGACTTCCCTTAAAAAAGACAGATAACGAACGTTGAATGCAACTTATGAATCATCCGTTTTACTTGTTACATCGCGTAAACGCCTTGCATTCGTTTCATGCTAGCTCGTTCACTGTCTCACGCTATTGCGCTTATTATAAATATTGAGATCGGCAACCTCGCGATATACAACAATTTCAACAGAAAAATCTTGATACCCTACGATAATCGGGATAATGCGATAAGTTAATCTCGTTCAGTATTCTTTAGTAAATTGCAAAACTGTATGAACAAAAGTTAAATAAGGAACGAGATAGTACAATGTGATAAAAAATGAAAATGACGTGTTCACGTAACGTCTAACATTGAAAGCGAAAGAATTCGAGTGGGAAGTCCATTGTTGTTATCCATTACGTGATGTACCTCACGAAAGGTAGGAAACGTGCTTCAGGTTTCATTCACTGTGATTCACTACATGTATACACGTACCGTAGGTATGCTTTATTGAAATGCATAAGTTCTTACACATAGTTTACGTACAGCTTTTAGAGAGTATCCTCAGATTTGTATTTTGGGAAACAGGAAGCAGATAAAATCACCTGTTAGACATTTTTAGCTCTTTTCAAGGGACTGAAAAATACCTAAATAATCATTATGCGTTTAGTTTCATAATTTCACATTTTATTGAAACACACTTCAAATAATATTGTATAAGTTATTGCAGTTTGTTAGAACAGTTTTATTCTTGTTCCATGAGGAATATAAGATAGCTATGATTCTCAAGGAATCGACGAATACATTATCTTTTATACTACGATAATAAAATTCAATTAATTCTTTCGCAAGAAGAAAGATAGCGATAATTTATGTTATTAAAGGATCAGT